GCCCCTCAAGACATTCACTTCATTCCATTTGAATGCATTTCATGTATTGTTTGCCATAAATCTATTGTTATTTATTCCAGTTCTACAACCACCCAATGCCCCCCTATATTCAACCCTCCTTCCTGTCCAACCCAGCCCCTTCTGCCGCCCTGTCACGCACTAAGGGCGGCATAGTTCAAAGCGTGGAGGGGGCAAAGGAAAACCTTTCAATTGTGGAATCCACGCGCTGTATCAATAATAATACAACAAAAAGAAAGAAAGAAAGAAAAACAACGCCGCCAACAGTGACACACCACACTGGAGGGAACCCAATCGAAAGGGGTATACGGGGTTGGTGGGGCAATACAGTTGGGGGTGGCGGAGAGAACCCCATAGCAGTAGCTTTAAATTGACATTTACATGAATATTTAATAAACATCCTTTAATCATGAGTCGTCCATTGTGCACCAACGACAGGGCTGAACGTTGATGATGGAAACGAGTGGCACGGACGTGGGGCTTCCTGCTGCACGTGCATGTCCCAAAATGTTCAAAATGTTTTTTTTGCCATGCGTTGGAGTTGGAGATGCAAAAAGGGACATATTCTATATGTGGACAATAATTTCATGTGTCGCCTAATAAAACATTTACATACATGCAAAATACACCCAACGAATGATAGAGAAAAAATATATGATATGCCGCCAGAATGGTTGGAATCTGAGGAATAAATTTACAAGTCCAGCGAACAGCTGTGCATGAAAAAGGTGTCCCATCGGGCGCGTGATTTTGACAATGTGTCAGGCTGTCGTCACACTCTTTCCGCCTGTTGTTCGTATTTTATTTCGATCATATTTTTTATAAATTTTACTCCCAGCAGTAGATAATGTGCGCCATGAAAACCCATCTGCCGCATCATCCTGCTGAGTTAATTGACATTTTTAGTCACACGTAAGTCTTCGTCGAGTTTTGGTTTCAGTTTCACTCGTTTTTTTGTATACTTTGGTGAGGGAAACGGGGCTTTGGGCGCTGTGGGACAGCTTCTGTCCGTGTTATCTGGACAAATGATAACCGATGATCGACTGGACGGGTCTGTGACAGCTGTTTTTTCGAGAGAGATCGTTTTGAAATATTCAGAATATGGAACACTAAAAAATTGTTTAGATGCCGCCGCCGATGTGTCGGCACTTTTTGTGGTTGTTGTTTCGGTTTAATGCGTGTCAAGTGGTCGTAGATTATGCATTTTTATGGTTTATGTGGCGCTACCCTAGCGCTTTACTCCCTTTGAGACAGTACGGATATTGTTTTCAAAGCAATAAAAATAAAAGGAAGCAAAACATGAACAGCTGTCTGTCTGTCTGTCTGTCTGTCTCTGGCTTCTCTTGCTGTCAATTGTAATTTTTACGACTCTAATTCTGATTTCGATGCCGGATTTCAATACCATTTTCGATTGATTTTTATGAGTCACTTTCTCGCATGTACACACGTAAGCTTCTCTTACGCGCATGACTCATGGGCAGACAATGCTCAGAGCTCAGAAGAGTTGAGATCCCATCCATCCATCAATCATTGCACACATGCCAAACCGAGCCTTGGGGCTGCTGCTGCCTGTGCGTTATCTTTGCCCAGTTCTCCGAGTAAATTAATATAAATGATCAATTTCACATAATTTTGTAAGTGCATATTAAGGGCAGCCTCCAGAGCAGTGCTCTGACAATTAGTGAGGAATATTCACATGTATCATGCGACTAAACATTCGACTGCTGGGGCATGTTGAAAAATCATCACTCAAACTTTGTTGCATGCATAAAATATGTATTAATGATCTGTCCGTTTGAGCTCTTCTGGAGAGCTTACACAATACACTTAATTAATGAAAGGATTTCTGGGAAATTCTTTAAAATATAAGACTTGGCTTTAAAGACTCTTCATGATAAAGTTTTGACTAATTGAATGCCTAATTCTTGTTCCCTTTCGATCCCATTTAGATGCCAAGACTGGCAGGCAGCAACTCCCGTTTCTGGTAATTTGATATTTTCTTATTCTAAAAATTGTTCACTAAATGTGTTTAAGACTCACCTCACTCCACTGCCGCTGTGTATCGCTTTCACCCCTCGGTCTGCGGCTGTTCTTCAATCAGCTCTGAGAGCGTGTCGCCTCTTTCTGTTCTTTGTTTTTTCTCTCTAATGAAGCGTTAAAACTCCACGTTCTTCCGTGGGAGAGAGGGAGAAGATAATTAACACAACACCAACTCCATTTCCAATAGCATCGAACCGAACAAAGCTACAAAAAAATCATTAACCCTTGGCATTTGTCAGTCGAGTTTTAGCGTAACTTTCTAAAGGAGTTCTTTCCCCTTTGCCTTAGAAGTTTAGAGTTCCTTTTGGCCGCTTTGTTGGACAAGTCAATCTACGTGACATCCTTTCGACTGCCGACTCCTTTCGGTGCCACGAAATGGATTGCATGGTGGGATGGGGCAGCAGAACTTCTTCCTTGGGCCACAGCCACGAATTTTGTTGAAACAGATGTCAAATTGTTGTACATTTTATATTTTTCTTTCCCCTTCGCCTCGATCTACTTTTGTTTCACTCTTTGCTTTTGTTTTGTTTCTTCGCTCCGTTCTATCGCTGTGGTGGCCCCCTTTCTGTTTTCTTTCTGTTTTGGTTCGTTGACTGTTTGCGCGGTTTCAAATTTCTGTGAAATGCATGTAGTCAGACGTCTCCCCATTCCACTTTTTACTCCGTTGCGAACCATTTCTGGGTATGCGAGGGGGTTTTCACTGCTTCTCTATCGATGTGCTCGAGTAGTCCTCGATTAGGACACTTGATATGTGTCTTTCAGTGAGGCTTTGAAGCAGTAGGGCATTTTTAGAGGAACATGTGTACATGGTATGTGTGTCCTAAATTAAACTGCCAATAGTTATAGATTGTAGGGCCGATAATGAAGGAGAGAGTTATGGTTTGGGCTAGTCCCCATGCAATTTATGGGTACGATATGGTTCGTAAAACTAACAAAAGTTGGGATAAGATGGAAAATTCTCTCTCTAAACAGCGACAAGCAAAAGACACGCAAAAAGTGCGAAAACAGAAATCATTTTACGATAAGTAATACAACTTCATCAGCGAGAAACGAAGCCCCGAGAGCGGGTTCCCCAGTTGCCTCTGCCACCGCTCTCTGCGGCTCAACAGTGATCCAGCAAAGCGTGAGGCGTGCATAAGTGAAATGTGCACAAGACACCAGATACAAAGATACATCCGAATACAACAGCAAGAACAACAAAAACAACAAGACTGAAGGCAGAAGGCAGAAGGCATCCAAAAAGGTAATTAATCATCGTCATGGGGCGTGTGCACGATTCGCTTAACGTGCGCCTTTGGCGGTGGCCCCTCCATTCAGTGGCAAGGGGGCTGCAGGGGTCTGCAGAGCTTGGGGGAAAATTCGAGTACTAACAGGGTACGACAGACGATGGCGGGGTCAGAGTTTGGTTGGTGCACCACACTCCAGACATATTACTCAAGGCATTTCCATATGCTCCACTTGGACTTGGACCCATGGCTTCCACTGGTGCTCCTCCAGTCAGCAGATCGCGGAGTGACTGGAATGGGCAAACATGGGGCCTGGGTCTGCGGCAAGGAGGCGTGGCATGGCGTGGCGCAATAATCATAACGAGCCAAATTAATGCGTTTCTTTCTACATCAAGCAGAATTCCCGTGCCGTTTTTTTTTTTTTGCTCGTTCTTTCGGCGACACATTTGCTGATTTATCCGCTACCACAATACGGTGCGTACCCTCCAGAAAGCATCTAATATTTACCCAGTGGCGCCTTCTATGACGAGGATATTTTGTATGCATTTTGAAACATTTTTAATTGATTGCGCGGCAGATTTCAGCAATGCTGTGTGCCATTTGATTTGGTCAACGAGTCGTGACAGCACCACTAATCAGAAAATGGAAAATAATTATGTGATAATAAAATAAAATATACCCTTGATACAGGTACAAAAAACATACACAAATTATACATTTTCTCAGTGCTTTAGCTTAGATTCACAGATGGTCTTATTGAAAGATATACCCTAATTAAATAGGGTACTAGAGTTAAGCAGCGACTCTTGTTGAGCTAATTGGATGCTCTGCCAATTAGTTGGTTGGTTGAGAAAATCATATCTCAGGTGGAAACATAAATGAAACGGAAAACTTTAAATATGTCAACGCGACATGCGGTGGGGAATCTCCTGTAGAGTGCTCCTCTGCGCCATCTAACAGTTCTGTTAACGTTCAGTTTTGCATTAACATTACCGCTACCTGTGGCCGCATACAATTCTCTTGGGTGTGGGAAAAAAATACACGTGCTTATCACACACACACACACACACACACAGAAACGTACACAATGCAGACAACAGCGTCAGAGAATTTATTTGAAATAAACAAAAAACAGCTGTTGAAGAGAGCGTCAAAGCAAGAGAGAGAGCTCTACATACGCAGAGAGGGCGAGAGAGAGTTGCTATAAATGGTGGGAAATGTATGGCAAACCTTAAGGAAATAAATAAAGCCTAAATAAATAATATTTAAATTGTATTTGGCACAACAAAAAATATGGTAAAATGATAAGAAAAATCGCATGGTAATGCTTGAATTTCGACTTATTTTTAAATATTAATAAATTGGAATTAATATGTACAAAAAACATAGAAAATTCCTATGGTTATATGAAAATTCCCACACACCAGGAACCGGCTTTTATTCGCTCCCTTCTCCCAAGAGAACTCTCTCGTGCAAGTCTCTCTCCCATAAAACACCATGGCGTTTCTCGCATGCGATTTTCGTACAAACTCGCACGAGAGCGTGCCCAGGCATCGCTATAAACCGAAGGCAAGCCGAAGCGAGAACCGAGCCCACTCGCATGTGGCATCGGGTATATCGCAGGGTGTTTTCATACAGCAATAACTACCTATAAGCATGCTACCATGGGGCATGGGGCATTGGATCGTTCAGCGGAGTCCGCATCCGACAGTTTCAAAGATACTCTCGTAGCGTGCGGTTCTCGCAAAGCTCGCGTTTTTCCGCTGCATTTGTGGAAGAGAATTTACGTAAAAGTTCCCATGGTAGAGGCCTTTAATAGGAGTCAAATTTAACGAATAAAACGTAATTAAAAAGTGCTAAGAAACCCAAAGATAATACATAATATAACGGAAAAGCATTGTCAGAGGAAACCATAAACGAGAAGCATTGCCAGGCCAGGACCACGAAATAATCCCATTAACATATGCTGTGTACGCGTGTGCGCGTGAATCCGTTACGGGCTCTATAATTGCATTGATTGACACCCGTTACGACTGTCGCCTTGCTATTTATGGCCAGAGGAATTCTTCGTTTTTTATTTCCATTAAAATCTCAAGGGGGAAAAGCAGTGCAAAAAGTGTGACCAACGTGCTGAGGAATTCAATAAGTGAAGGCCGTAGTGGGGCATCGGCCCACCCTTCTCGCAATATTACTGTGCGTGTGTCAGCGTGAAAATTCGAGGAATTTGCAATTAATGTTGATCAATCACACGCACACACAAAAGTCCAATCAACTGAATTCAAATAAAATCATAATACAGGATTAATTGAAACTCTTGAGAATTTATTCAGCGGGAGCTACTTCGACGACGCAGCACGATACACTCATATTTATTGCAATTATTTGTCCTGGAAAAAGGTGAGTGAGCTTGGGTTCTAGAGAAATCAGAATTTGTTTAAAGGGGTTGTAATTCCATTGGTTCCTTTGTAACGTTAAGAATTTGCATGCAAAAGTGGGAGTTGAAAAGGAGTATTCTTGGATTGCATTGGAAGTTTTATTGAAAATGCAATTTTAGGTATTCAAAACAGAAGATTTTCTTTGAGTTCCCTTTTCGTTACTACCTTATCTTCCAATTTATCATGTCTCTAAGCTATTAATTATAATTAAAGTTAAGTTCTGTGGAACCATTGAAAGTGTCAAACTATTTGACAGCCTTTTCCTTTAGCTCCCCCCTGGCACTTCCTCACCTTTATGGTCAATTTCAAATGGGTCAGCGATGCATTTTGATAATGCCAGGCGGGTGGGTCTCCAAAGTTCAATCGCTTTTTTTTTATATTTGGGTAACGTTCTGTGACACGCAAGCTCCACCCTCGAAACGCAATTAGCATAAATTTACCATAAAGGTATTTTGGCATCTAATTATGGCCTTTTTCGTTGTAGTTTCCATTGAAATGTTTGAACTGTTGTTGCTTGATGCATTTGATGGTTTTTTGTTGTGGTCGTCTGTGTGCATTGAATTTTAATTGAAGTTGGCGGCGGCGGCGTTTTAGGCCTGATTGTTGATTGTTGCTGGCTGGTGTTATTTCGTTGTCTAATTATGCGGCGTGAAAATGCAATGCATGTACAAATATTGACGCGACACAGTCCTTCGTCTTTCGTCTATCGTTGTTATTGTTGTTGGTTGTTGTGGCCGTTTGTTAACAGTAATTCTCGATGTTTTGCTGTTGGTTCTGTTGTTTGTTTCTTCCATGTACGTGTGTCTATTTAAAGTGGAACCCAAATCGAAACATACACTATTGAAACAGTTTGAAGTGGATCCCCCACGACAATTGTTTAAACAATCAAACGAAGTAGGGGCCCGCATGGAAGGGGCATGACAAGATGATAATCGAGTAAGCAAAATGCATTCATCGAATATGGTGGATTCTTGGTTAATAATGTTGTAGATAATTAAGATATGGAACACTTTGTGAACACACCCTGGAAATATTAACAATACTACTTATAAAGTGGAGCACAATTATTGAACATTCCATTATTACGTTGGGGAAGTAGGGGACTTTCTTTCTGCTGATTTTCCTTGGTGTTTGCAGTTTTATTCACTCTCTAATTAACTCGTTCTTTGCATTCCAATTGAAAACTAAGGCAAGGTCCTGCTCTCAACGCAAAGCTGTCATCCATCTGCCAAGCTCCAGCAACAAAGGAGGCGCCAGGAGCACGAATCTAGTTCAAGTGTAGAGTAATTAGCGACTGGGGCGTGACTGTACGTGTGTCAAGTTGTACAGAGGGAAAACTACAGCAAATATTTACAATTAAAGCGAAAGCAGATGGGAAGGTGCTGCTCCTGCTGCTCTCTCGCTGAGCAAGAGTTTACCTCAAGTGGACACTCGAGTGGAGGAGGCGGGTCCAGAGCGGAGCAATGTAAGAGATGGAGGGGAAAAAAAATGTGAGGTTAATTAAAAAACCCAAACAATGCCAAAGGAATTGAAATTGCTTTTTAATATTTTCAACACAAAACAGGTGGGGGAAGAAAAAGATTTCCACTCAGAGATTAGCTCACATTTCCACCTACGCATTTCCATGACAGCCAGGGGTTAGGAAGTGTACAGCAACGAACACAAGCGTCAGGCGACTAAACATGTCAAGTGAGAGTGTAGGCTAGAAAGAGAGAGAGACTGTGAGAGAGGGAAACACCCCTGGATGACAGGCGACTGTCACACGTTGCGCATTAGACACACTCATCCGAGCGATCTCCGAGCCTCCGCTCCTACTCTGCATCGCCTTTTGTCTTTTATATTTAGGTGCCTGTGTTGCAATGTTTGTCCAAGTGCTGGGATCGCGCACAGCTGACACAACTCTCTTTTGGGGAGTGCGGGGAGTGCCCGCGTAGTGTGAATGAGATGTGAACTGCATTAGTAAATGGAGTTAAGTAAGGTTGAGTTAAGTAGTGTTTGCCCCAAAGCACTTCCGTTTTGGGATGGGCGCTAAAGAAAAGTGTCAAAGGTGTACTTTCCGGGCACTATGGGCACAACAGCTGTCTTTTGAGAGAGTTTTACCGAAACGACTTGAACGACGTGCTCGTGTGGAGACAGGAACTATAATCCAAAGATTACAGCTAGATTTGAAATGTAATTTGCTTTGCCTAAACACCAGTCGAAGTGTTTGAAGTAATTGAATATTAGTTTCGTCAGCAATTTTCCTATTAGTTCCATGGTGTAACTCTAGTCTCCCGTCTCTTCTGTTCAAAGTATCCTGTTAAATATTAGCCAGTTGCATTCGTCTATGACCCCCCCCCCATAAACATCTATTTGGCTTTGTAGAACCGAAAACATCTGCGCTTAGACTCAGGCAACAGCCAAGCCCCTTGCGATCCATTCGAATGGGAGAGGTCCAGGTCCAGTCCAGCAGTCGGTTTCTAATGTGAATAATTCCACCACATTACACACACCTGCATCTGCAGTCAGTCCCCAGTCGCCCCCCTGTGTAAGAGCTTTCATGCATTTGCGGTGGATATTTAGCAGTGGTCCCTGGCCAAGTGGTTGCAGCATTTTGGTGGTTTGCACGGAACGGCGGCGGTGGTTTCGGCGGTTTCGGCGGTTTCGGCGGTTTCGTTTGGTCCGTTTGGGAAAGTTGATTTGTTTGAACTGATTATGGGCATGTTCGTTCGTTGCGCTGCGGTTTCGCTTTGAGCTTGGTGCTCGGATAATAGTTTTAAATAAGTTCAAGTCGAATTTAATTGGCCAAACTAATGCCCGAACGTATGAATATATATTTATCTGTATCTGTGTCTGGTGTTGCTGTCTGGGGCGTAGCTACGCCCACTCCAACTAGGTTAAAGTCTGTGACAAATATGCAACGACATGAGAGACGTGACTTATCAACGAAAAGCACAACGAAATGGCAGGAGGACTATCATCATGCTCATCATCAGCTTTTTGGATGGACGTGTGTCTGTCCATCTGCTTTTGGCTGTCAGTGTGCATTAAAAACCAAACAAATTTGTTCTCCCCACTCCGCACACACACTGGGAGTGTGGGAAAAACTATCAAGTTTTCTGTTGTTGCCCAACAAGTCCAACAGATGCCTACACCTGTCGCCCTGACTAATTTATTTCTTGTAGATAAAGCATCGCAGCCCAAAGCATGGCATTGCATGACATGTGGTCCATCTGTATCTCCTCAGATATTTTATACACCCAAAGCTATGGGCCGCAGCGACCAATATGAAATCATTAAACAACAGACAGACACTCCGCACCACAGATGACGACAGGCGAACAAATTTGTTTGGAGTTTCTGTAATTTGCATAATTGAGTTGGAGTTTTGGCTCTTGGGTTACAGATCCCAAACAAGAGATAAATAATAAGCTGATGATGCCGCGACGAGGTTGTTGAAGTAAAGTGAAGTTTTCCCTGGAAAATGTACAGATCTGAATTAATCTGATTGATTTATGGCCAGAGATTTGTACGGTTTTTGGGCATTAAAAACAGCATTTTTGGCTCATAAAGAAAGTGATTAAATCGAGGAAATGTTAGACTCTCGAGAGTGTATTTTGTGTGTTTATTCCATTTGGTTTTCACATGGAAAATGAAATAAATATTCCAAAATGATTATTTTCTGCATAAACAATCTATTATTTCCTTTAACCATCAAAAGGATACATGCAAAGCCCAGACAATGCTCTGACAGACAGACACGTCAGTGTGCTGCCTTCTACAGATTCAAAGAAACTGAGAACCTTCCATCAAAGTTAACTGCATTTTTATGGTACACAGAGAGCCTCTACTCAGTAATCAGGCATTCATCCTCTACTGCAGCCAACCATCAAGCGATGATTATGCAATTTGCATACAGCTCACGTCCCAGCAGACGTCCAAGAGTGTCGGCATCTATTCAGAGTGCGGCGCTACTGGGCAGACAGTGGAGAGAGAAGTTAAACCAAACTAACCGAAACCCAAACCGAAACCAAATGCGAAACTGGAGTCCAAAGTGCGTTCAAGGTGATAAAGCAAAGTCCACAAAGTCCTCTACTACACTCTTACAGCACTGGGTACTGGGAAGTCTTGTATTAATGTGGGATAGATTTAAGCTGCTGCAAGGATATATACGAAGTTATTCAATTTTTCATAAGTTCATAATCAAACTGAACATTATTTTCCAGCATTCATTGAAATTAGATATAATTAGAAGTGGCTGCCAGAGTATATGTATCTTCGGTTTCCATTTGTGCCTCATTTCTTTTGGTTGTAACCACAAAATGGACTGAGACTGACCAAATGGCTCAAACGGAGACGGAGACGGAGACGCAGACGGAGAAAAAACATTTTGCTAAATGCAGTTTGGCTTGAGATTAGTGCGAGTTGATTATTTACTTTGGCTTCAAGTTGTGCAATGCAAATAAACGGAGAGAGATGGAGATGGGAATGGGAATGGGAATGGACAACGAGAAGGAGAAGGGACACAGGAGGCTAACCCAGCGAGACAGCCGCAGCAGCATTATTATGTTAATGGCAACGAAATGCAGTTGCATTTTGCAGTTTATTCAGCGCTGAACGTGTTGCCCATGCGGGTCGTAAATCCCCAACTCCAACTCCATCGCTGACTTCGAATTTACCTCTGACTGGAGGCAAACAGTCACCCGTGCAGAGAGACCACAGACCCGGCGATGCATGTTGATTATTTTTATTGCAATTGACAAAACTCCGAGAAAATGCCAATGCAAAAAAGAAATCAAAAAAGAAACTCTGGCGGCAGCGAGTAATTCTTTTGTAATTGACCAGCTGCCGTTTTGCTTGTATATCGCTCTGTCTTTCTTTGCTGTTATTTTTTAAGGCCTTTTGCCATAAACTGGCTGTCACAAATTATTTCAAGTAAAGAAGGATTTCAAATGGGTTCGGTGGCGTCTAAAAGGAGATCCA